CTCATGTTTAGAGAACCTACAGCTCTTAATACTCTGTTGTTCCTCAGTCATTTTCAGTCATGTCTGACTCTTCATGACCCTGCTTGGGGTTTTCTTGGCAAAGATACTGGAGTGGTTTGCCATTTTCTTCTCCAGCTTTTTTTTTTAACAGATAAGGAAACTAAGGCAAACTGGGTTAAGTGACTTGCCCAGGGTCACACAGCTGGGAAGTGTCTGAAGTCAGATTTTGAACTCAGGTCTTCCTGACTCCAGAGTCAGTGCTCTATCCACTGCATCACCTAGCTGATCTCAGTTAATATTTACAGATGTTCTAAAAACTGTGATACTTAGCACTACCTGTTCCTCTTTTTGCAATTCCATCATTGCCACTCTGGAAGCAGATAGGGGCCCGAAGGACTGAGGGCTATCTTAAAATTCTTTGTTTCTTGAGTTGCCATGGCCGAAGAATTCCTTACCAAATAGTCGACATAATGGCAGTGAAAGTCTTAGTAGTCAGGCAGGTTAGTTCTTGGGTAGCAGATTCAGTGTACGTTGGATACTGTATTCAAAATGCTTTCCTGCATGGTTGTTAACAGAGCTTATGACTGATCCTCTGGCATAGCCTCTGAGAAGCTTTTGTGCAGCTGGGTGGTATAGTAGATAGAGTGCTGGACTTGGAGTCAGGAAAACCTGAGTTCAAATTTGGCTTCAGATGCTTAGGAACTCTGTAACCCTGGGCCAGTCACTTATCTCTCTTTGGCTCAGTTTTTCCAACTATAAAATAGAAGGATAATAACAGTATCTACCCCTCATAGTTGTTGTGAGGATCAATTGAGATATTTATAAAACACATAGCACAGTGCCTGGCACATAGCAGGCACTTAATAAATGCTTTCGGGGCAGCTAGATGGCTCAATGTGTAGAGCACCGGCCCTGGAGTCAAGAGGATCTGAGTTCAAGTCTGACCTCAGACCAAACACTTGACACTTACTAGCTGTGTGACCCTAGGCAAGTCACTTAATCCTAATTGCCTAAGAATAAAAAAAAATGCTTTCATTCACCTTCCTAGCTATGTGATCCTGGACATGGCTCTTAATTTCTGTCTCCTTCAGTTTCTTAATCTGTACAACAGCAATAAGTAATAGTACCTACTTCTCAGGGTTGTTATGAGGATAAAATGAGATAATGTTTGTAAAGCTCTTTGTAAACATTAACGTGCTATATAAATGTTAGCTATTTATTCTCATTTCTATTCTTATTTTGAATCCAGAGTCACCCCATGCCACAATGAGGCACCAGAGGAAAACTTTGTTAGTTCATTGGGTTTTTACCTTGTTATGGTTCTTAGTGTCCTAGACTGTGGAAACATTTGAAATTTCTTGATTTCTGGTACATAATTCCTATTTTGTAGATGTTTGAGAGGTACTGAGGATCCCAGCAAAGGTGTAGTCCTTTCTCTTGTTGGTCACATGACCCAAAAGTCCAGAGGAAGACTTTGTAGGCAATCGAAAAGACATCTATTAATGCATTTATTCTATATCTTAAGTCTAATATTCATGGAGAAGAGTTATTTACTGATGAGTTAAATCCTAGATAACTGAGGAATACCAAGGCACACTGTTGTGAAAGTGATTTGGAACATTAAAAGTATTATATACTTGTGGTATATTTTATGTATCAATGTCTAGTATCTATTTTTACACAGCTTTGAAATTGGACATAGAATAAAATTCACATGTGTATACAGTCCTCTACTGAGATAGAATAAAAATCATATGTGTATACAGTCCTCTACTGAAGCCCAATTTTGATGTCACAGTGCTACTGAAGTCACCTTTAAGTCTGTCTGGAAAAGCTCTAGCTCCTAACAGTCTATAGAGCAATAACTAAGCCTGAAAAGAATCATTTACCAGAGCAGGAGGCATCAGTGATGCATTTTTTTTTTAGTCACAGAAACTCATGAAAATCATATACTAAAATGACATCAGCTACGTAGTAAAGATGTAAGAACAGAAGATCATAAACATAGACCTGGAAGTGATCTCAGAGGCCCTTTGGCCCAATCCTCTTCATTTAGATGAGGGAACTGAAGCCCAGGGAGGTGGTGACTTGCCCAAAGTCACACAGATAATAAATCCGCAAGATCTGGTTTGAATCTTGACTCTGCCAAGAATGACCTATAACAAATCACTTTATCCATTGAGCCTCACTTTCTTCATTTGTAATATAGTGATAATGAAACATTGTAGTGTAGTGTTGGATTGAAAGTCCTAAGTTCATATTCTGACCATTATCTTTTTACTTGCATCACCTTGGGTAAGTCAGTTAGCCTCTCTCGGCCTAAATTTCCTTGTATGTAACATGAAGGTGCTAGGCTAGATGACAGTTTCAGGTTTCTTCCAGCTGTAAATCTATGACCCTATGAGCCTAGTTTTATTAGCTTCTTTACAGGACTGTTATGAGGATCAAGTAAGATTACATACATATTGCTTTATGCAATGTAAGCTATTATTAGCAATACTAAGAGATTTCCACATCATCAGTGGAGGAGGAGATCCCTTCAGAAAAGACATAACAGATTATCTAAATATTTATTTTATATAGTTACTTCTTGGTAGATTTCTAAGTGCTATAAGGTCTAATTTTTCTTTGTGATTCATTATATCTTTTTCTCCAAGAGTTTCAAATAACATTGGTTTTAAAAAACAAAATAAGATAATGTACACAAAATGTTCTGAAAACTTTAAACCATTATATAAAAGTCTTCTGCTATTATTATTACTACTAGTAATATGAATGAGGTGATTACTTTGGTATAGGGAACTCACAGGTGAGGAAATACTCTCTGTTAATGCAAGTCTGAATCTTCTTTGCAATTTAAGAGTCATAGAGCACTGCCTAGGGACAAATACTTGTCCAGGGTATGATGGTATATGTCAGAGGTGGGACCTAAATCTAGGCCCTCCTGACTTTGAAATCAACTTTCTAATGACACCATGCTGCTGCTGATTATAATGATTCTTTTAGACTACATTTGATCTGTCAACATTTTAATATTTGTGGTCTGTAATATGCTATTTAATTCTTAATCATATTCTATATTGTATTGTTTGTTGGTGCTTCATGTGTTTCCTCTAATCTCAAACAGATTATAAGCTCCTAGATGGGATGTCCTAATCTATACTTTTGTATGTTTTACAGGACATAGCACAATACTAAATACATGACAGATACTCAGTAAATACTTCTTGTTTCTGTTGGCAAAGTGGAAAATTGGCTCAGCTTGGAAAATAATTTGGAATTGTTCTAGAAAAGTGACAAAATTGCTCAGATTCTTTGACTCAGAAATCTCATGACAAGCTTATCTTCCAAAAAGGCTTATCAATGGCCAAAAGACACATACACGTGTACATATATGCATACATATGGAAATATTAATAGCAGCATTATTTATAAAAACAAAAAGTTGGAAAAAAATTATATGCTTAATGATTGGGAATGGCTGAACAAAATTGTGGTGAACAAATGTAAAAGAATATCACTGGCCCTTAAAGAATAATGGATATGAAGTTTTCCGAGAATTGTGGGAAGACTTGTAGGAAGAAAGTAGATGCGAAAGAACTATAACAATTTGGGTAAAGGTAGCAATAAAAAGCAAATCCCAAGGACAGTGTGGGCACCCTATGATGTAATGGTAAACTAAAAAAGCGTAAAGAGACGGTATGATCTGTTTCAAAATTGCTTCAGTGGGCAGATTTGCTTAACTGTTTTCTGTGGTCCACTTTGTTGGGTCAAAATAAAATTTATCCAAAATAAAATGTTTAAAAATCCTTATCAAAAACAAATCACCTTTAAATCCAAACCTTAAAATCTGTGATTTAGAGGAAGTGTTTCTTTCTCCAGATCCTTAGTCCTAAGAATACTCTGAGGAGCATGCTCTGTAAGCTGAACATAGCACTGGGAGAAAGGAGACCTACCTCCTCTCACCTACCTGCTCCCTGGGTCTCCTGTTCTGAGAGGGTGAATGCACGAACCTTCTCCAGAATCCAGAATCCTGGGCAGGAATTTCATCTTGCTGCCAGAAGGAGGCGCCACGGGCCCGGGTTAAGCTCTGCCCCTCCTTCTTCGTCCCCCCCCGCCCCCACCAGTCTCCTGCCTTCCCGCTTCCCTGGTACATGACGTTGGAAGCTGCCTCAGCCAGAGTCTTAGCCATAGGAGTGAAGGAGTGGAGGGGTTTGGGGGTGGGGGGTGGGGTGGGGGGTGTCTCGAAGGAGGAGACACGCACAGACATACACCGAGAGAAGAGATTTCTTTTCTAGCTTCGTGGGCTACCCGCCCCAAGAGCCTCTGTGTGTGTGAGAGGTAGGGGTGTGTATGTATGTGTATGTGTGCATGTGTGTATGTGTGTGTGTGTGCACGCGTGTGTCATGTTTTTTGAGTATGAAGCAAGCCCAGATGTATTTTCTCCCCCCACCTTTGGCCATGACTACCCTATCCCTCACTCTTCCTCCTTGCCTTCCTCCTCTTTTCTGTTGCTCTGCAAAGCCCCTTCCCACCCCCACCCCCACCCCCATCATCGCCAATTGGAATCTGTCTTTTTCTCTCCCACTCCCCCCTCCTTTTTTTTTTTAAGAGAAAGGAAGGTTTCTGGGGTTCTCCACCCCCCACCCCAATCACTTCCTTTGGTTTCTTCACCTCCAGGAAATCACTGGAATTGGTATCTCCAAAGGGACTGTCGGCGTTATTGCTATTGATCGTTATCGATTGTGATCAATAAGCAGCTTCTCATCCGAGCCCCTTGGCTCTGGGTTTGCAAAGAAGAGTCTTCAACTTCCTAGCGTCGGAGGTGGATTTTTTAAAAATCCTGCTTTACAGGAAAGGAGAACCCTAAACGCCCCCTTCCTCCATCCATCCATCCATCCATCCATCCATCCATCCATCCATCCATCCATCCTTCCATCCTCCTTTTCTTCTTCCTCCTCCTCCTCCTTCTCTTCCTCCTCCTCTTCCTTCCCCCCCTCCCGCTGGCCACCCCACCCCAGGGAATTCGGAGTCGTTGCAACGCGGGCGCTCGGCGGATAGGTCAGTATTTGCCGGGAGTCGCTTGCCCAGGCTTTAGGGCTGGATGTGTGGCCGGCCGGGAAGGAGAGTCAGGTGCAGGGAAACTCGGGAGCCAGGCGGGTATCGGAGAAAGCCTTTAAATGGGATGCAAACTTATCTTTTTAGGGGTGTGTGTGTGTGTGTGTGTGTGTGTGTGTGTGTGTGTGTGTGTGTGTGTGTGTGTGGTTTCCCCAGGGCTGGAGGTGAGGGTGGGAGATGCTTTTAAATTCCACTCCCCCCCCCGCCCCCTCTCTGGAGCTGAGAGGGATGTCAGCGGGTGGCCGAGGCTACAGCCACGCGCTGCGATTATCTGTCTGTCCAATCGACACGTTGCAGGTGAAACACAGTGGTCCGCACATCAGCACCACTGGCTTGCGTGAGTGTGTGTGTGTGTGTGTGCGTGCGCGCCTATGTGTGCGTGTGCTGTGTGTGTGTGTGTGTGTGTGTGTGTGTGTCAGTGTGCCCCTTTCAAGAAATGCAAAATGTACATTCTGTGCACAGTCAAAAACCGATTCCACACAGCGGGGTGGGAGGAGGCGCTGCTGTTGGAGGCAAAGGGAAGAGAAAGACAGACATGTCAGCAGCAATGCAGATGGTGATGGGAACCGCACTTGCTAGCGAGTTAAGTGTGTATTGTGTTTTTGCGTGTGTGAGTGTGTGGTGCTATGTCGCGGCTCACGCTCTCTCTCATTCAGATTTGGTTTTCTACCTCCCATCCATGCCTGTCCCAGGAATATAGCGAGACCTTTCCTGAATTATTTATAGACCTGTGCCAGCTGTTTTCCAATTCTTCTCGCGTGCACTCTGTTGAGAAATGCGGGTTTTCTTTCCCCCCCCTTTTCTTCCTAAAACGACTTGATATCTTTTTTTGGGATGCAATTTTGTCATCATTCCTGGTACGCTCTCTAATAAAATACTGACCCCCTCTTTTCCCTCCTTAGGGAGGGGATGCCTTGGAAATAATCATGCTCCACAGAGGAACAGATCGGACCTGCAGCTTCTCCAAACACAGCCTCCTCCTCTAAAGCTCCAGAAAACCAAAAGCATAATTATTAGAAGAATCTTAAAAATTTTTTTAATCCAGCCCCTAACCTCACATGGAAATGGAATAATTATTCTGGATTCTGCATTGGGAAAGCCTCTCCTTTCGCTGCATTACCCTTGAATGGAATCATTTTTACTTTGAATTTGCATCACCTCAAGCCAGAAGATTAACGCCCCCCACCCCCAATTTCCCAGCTAAATTGGATTTTAAATTCTCTTTCATTTCTCCCTTATCTTTCTTATGTGGATATGCAAGCAAGAAGAGGAGACTGGATACTCCCAACATGTTCACTCCCTTAATCTGTCCGTATAGAGGTTCTACTTCTACAAACCAAGGTAGAGAAAATTCTTTTTATTTTTTCCTCACCAGTGGTAATCACTCTTTGTTCATCTTTCTCTCTAAATCCTTCAATCTTTTTTTTTTTTCAGAGAGGGCAGAACATGACTTACTTAAAAGGATATGTAAAATAGGGACAGGAAAATAATGCTGTTTTTGCAAAAAAAAAGGGGTAAAAAAGATCATGCTGCTTCCTTGCCTCATCAAACAGGTTTTTTCTTTGGAGGGGGGTGGTGAGGTGAGGAGGATAGGAAGGAACTTAGTGGTTGAAGGGTGTGTACAAGCATGGCAGAGAAACCTGTGTGATTTTTGAGGTAAATGGCATTTTGATTCATTCATAGGTTAATCTGTGTTTTTATGGGGTATAGGAAATCAAATAATCTTTCCTTTTTAAGCTTTGTCTCCTTTGCTACCTCCATGCCTCCCTCTTTGCCTCCTCTCCATGCCCTTCTTCAAAATAAAAATGACTGTTAAGAATGGTTATGGTTGTTGAACTAAAAATCCACTTGCTGTTTTTTAGACATTGGGCTAACCCTGGGCTTGGAGATGCTGGGAAGCCTATTGCAGAGGGTCTGGTCAAGGTGGGAGAATGGGTTGGTCCCAAGAACACACTTTGGAAGGGTGCTTTTTAGACAGGTGAAAATGATAATTCTGGGAAGAAATGCATTCAGAAAATATTTTGCTCTTAATTTATATTTTATATGCTATTATTTTCAGCTCCTTCTGTCTACACATCTATTTATACACACACATCCCCCAAGCAAACTGTTACTTCCACACTCCTGCAAAATGGCTATGTTGCAGAGTTCTAAAATGCTGTGCATGTGTGAGGGGTGCATAATTTGACACGTGAGTCTTTGTGTTAAACAAAGGGATGTGTGATCTGTGTGCCTTATGCCCTTAAAATAGAATAAAGGCTTTAATTATTATGTTCCTCTACTCAATTTTAAAAGGAAGATACTGTTCTTCTAGGTACTGTGTATTATATTCATGTATGTGAAAAGAGAAATGAGGAACACTTGCCTCATCTGTCTTTAGCTAGTCACTAATGAAATGCAAGACTGAACTCCAAAGGAAATCAGGTTGCCCATAGAGCGAAGGACCATGATAAGATAGAGAGTCTGGGTGCTTCTTTCTTGGGTCTTCAGGTCCTACAACTCTAAACTTAAAAAGTGTCAAAACTCTGGATTTGGTATTTGACAGAGAACCTTAAATAATAATAACTGGTTAGACATTGTTATCTCGGAACATTATGAGTATGAATTTTAATTCTTTATCATCAGTATTTTCAAAAAGCTTTTTTTTTTTAAAACATATTTTATGCCAACATTTTGGAATAATGCAAGAAGACTGGAGAGATCTAGGAAGATCATAGGAAGCAGTCAAAGGCCTTGCAGATGTTTAAAACTGGATTACTGAAAATGTTCTAATTATTTAAGATGATAAATTTGTGTCTAAACAGAATAAAGGCATTTGATGATCTTAGAGTTAGTTTTCCCCATCACAGGAGATGTTGAAGCACAGGCTGGATGACCACTGTGAAGGATGGAGGGGGCTTCCTTTTAAGGCATGGGTTGGACAAGATGACTTTGGAGGTCCCTTCTAACTCTGTGATTCTGTGACTCTGTGAAGTGGAGGTAGTCATTTTTCTTTGTCCAGAGAGGGGGAAGTAAGAGGATGTATATGATCCATTTTTTCAAGCTTTAATGTTTCTGAATTTTTAGTGCTTAGGTTATGAGGCACCCCTTTGTTTCCAGGGAGAGGTAGGGTTCCACTTTGAGCCATGTTCTCACCCTGTCTATAAACGGCCAAGTTTATCTAGTAATTAGCTATTCTCTTAGGAACATCTGTACTGTTTTACAGCCTTCTCCTCCTTTCAAGTATGAGGATCATTTTTTTTCCTGCAGAAATGATGATTTGGGTAAGAAGGACATACTGTGTGCCAAGGCTGCATGCACAGAAAGTATGGACATGGATAGCTTTCTTTGCATCTTCCTCGGTGCTTAGCCTTAAACCCTACCAGTAGTAGGCACTCACTTTTCTGATGATGTCATTGATGATGATAAAGATACTTTACTGCAGAGGGAATCAAGAACAGACATAGGGTCATAGAATTAGAGCTGGAAATAACCTCAGAGAGTCATCTAACCACCTTTGGCCTCACTTTCCTCATCTGTAAAATGAAGGGTTTGGACTAGATGGGGGCTTCAGCTCTAGATCTAAGACCATTTAATCAAAATCCTTCATTTTATGAAGAGGAAGAAGCTGACCCAGTGAAGGGGAGTCACTTGTCCAAAGTCACATGAGTAGAACTAGAGCAGGGGTTTAGAACCCAGATCATCCGACTCCAAATCCTTAACTCTTTCCGCTCTATTGGGGTTTCTTTAGTTTTTTTTTTTTGTTTTTAAGTGCACTGCATATCCCCCCTCCCCTTGCCCCAATTCAAGGGAAATAAAGAAATGCTTGTAGGTGTCACCAGTTGACCTAAATAATAGGCAAAGAGGAATAAGGAACAAAAAGGGAGAAGGAGAAGAGGAAGAAGAGGAGCACAGGAGGAGGGAGAAGAGAAGAAGGAGAGAGAGTAATAAAATTCCATTTGGGGGGTAGGTTGGTGGCTGAATACTGAGAAATTGCCTCAGTGTTAGCTTAGTGGCCCTAGTGCCGTACAGGTTGTTAATACCTTTTCTGGAGTCTAAAGAAATTTTTGAGACACTGGGAAGAAGCAGGTGTTTGGCTTCATGCCAAGATGCTTTCTGTGACACTGTGACTCAGTGGGGTTCTGTGATGTTGGTGTCATTGTTCTCCTCCTTATTTCTCCTGACAGCACCGGGTGCTGGCTAAGCTCAGTTTGGGGCTCAGCTTCTTCTGCCTTTCCTGTTTACCATATGGGTTGCATGAGAAAGAAATGGGGCTAGTGGTGGGAGAAAGTTAAAATTAATTTTAATTGAGGGATCACTGTGATGTAAATTTCAAACAAATTTATAGGAAACAAAGCCTTCCTTCCTTCTTGGTCTGCTTGCCTGTGACATAGAGGAAGGGAAGCCTTTATTTACCTTTTAATTTGCTGAAAATTAATATCATGGTGGTCCCAAATTAAAATGAATTTTTACTTCATCTTCATGAAGGTCTTCCAGGGAAAGAAAGCAGGACAAGGAATTTCAAGGAAGAGGAGTAATTCCAATGACCTTCTTTGTCTCCCAGGTATATCACAGTGTGATGGAGCTCTGAACACCAAAGTGTATGCCTGGTTTGTAGGTAGGTGTTGAGAGGTGAAGAGAAGGACTCAGTATTTTCATATTTTTTCACATTTTAGCTCTCTTCTTGGCTCTATCAGTACGGAATCTTTATTTGATGATTCTTTAGCATTTAATTTTGGGTGATTATGATGTAGGTACAACACATGGTGTGTCATTTGTATTACATTAACCTTGGAGGTCTCTCAATAATTTCTATGGCTTATACCCTCATGCAGGCTTTCCCCTGAAAACACCAGAATTCGGTTCATTTTGTATAAATTGAGTTTCTCCTGATAACATTAGAATTTGATGTCTGGTCGCCCAAAGGACCTTTAGATCACCTGTATCCAGACATGAGATAACAGCACAGTTTTTGTTCAAAACCCCTACCCATAGAGATTTTAGAAATTTCTTTTTTTTTTTAGTAAAATAAAATTTTGGCTTCTACCACTATCATCAAAGAATACATAGGTAGGATATAGACTGGACCTATGATATCGATGTGACAGAAAACATAGAATAGACTCAAAAAGTGAGCCCCTTGACTGTCAGGAAAACTTTCTATCTTTTTGTCTGAAGCATATTACTTCTCTCCTCTGTGTGTGTGTATGGGGGAGTCTGAGCAACCTTTCTTCTCATATTATCCAGTTCCCATGACTCATGGTACCAGTGAAGGAATAGCTTTGGGTTGCTTCCCAGGGAACATGGTTCTCTGCTGTTTCTTCTTCCCTGTTTGGGCTCCATAGACAGTGTAACCTATGGACCTCTCTCCAGGTCTGAGTGAGGCTGGACATTTCTGTATCTTCTCTAGCCATCTTTACCCCCAAACCTTATTCCTTTTGTTGAGACTCCATCTTCTTTATCTTTGGTCCTGGACCCTGGTTGTATATAATTCCTTAGGGGCTTCCTATGCAAGTCTTTCTCCAGAATCTTATATAGTCCAGAATCTCAGTAGCTCTGTCTCTGTCTCTTCTCTGTGTGTGTGTGTGTGTGTGTGTGTGTGTGTGTGTGTGTGTGTGTGTACACATGTACCTGTCTCATGGTGGATCTTATCTCTTTTTAAAAACCAAACAAGTCCGTGAAATCTATTATTAATACGTTATCAACTCAGTGATCCTCACTGGTAGAGGACTCAAAGCAGGGGGAATTTGCACCTTGTTCTGGAAATAGAAGACTCACTTTCTCTGAGCATGTCTGCTGTATGGGTGAAGAAGGAAGAAAGTAAGGGAGAAAATCAGAAAAAAAGAATAAAGAAGGAATAAAAATGAATAAAAAAAGTTCCTCTCGGCACTGTTTTGCATTGTTTGGCTTTCTTTCAGCCTGAGAACAATGACTTCTGGTGGGAGGATAGCATCTTCCTTGATACTTTCTTATCCTAGGATGATACTTATTTGGGAGAGTCACTGACCTGTCTTGTCTTGCTCATTCTTCCATCTGTGTCGGGATCCTTCTAGGACTTCAGCTATTAAACTCACATGCAGATAGCTGTGTGCAGGAAGAGGGCTTTGAAAAGGAAATCACCAGGGCAGTGATTGGAGAGAATTGTCATCAAGAAGTTTATCTAGCTGCTGTCTATTAGCTTATTTGCAAAATGCACTTTTAACCCCTTAGCAGAGAGAAACTCTGCTGAGTCTTGATTTTCTTATATTTTCCATTTAAAGGACCAATTCCATTGGAATCCTACTTTGATACCTCATTGTGGTATGGAGTTGATCTTAGGTTCTCAAAGGCTATTCTGGTGATGTACAGACTTTGGAAGGTTT